AATCTCAATCTCACCCTTGTTCCCAGTTAGATCAGATAAAAGTCACAAACATATGTTTTTTTGCTTGAATCGTTATGAACAGCAGCTCCGCTAATTAATTTCTATCTGCCTTTCTGTTCCTACCCTGGGATGCCCAGGGTATCGAGGTATCTAGAGATTACACCAGCTCCAGCGTGGATCCAGCCTCATAGAAAAACTTCAGATGACCCCAACACCTGTGAAGAGATTATACTGACCCCTGCGAGGACCCCTGGCAGGTGACACAGCTGGCAAAATGTCTCTATATTGTAATCATTATGATCACACTTGTAATAATCGCATTAATAAGCTTCTGCCTGAAATTAATTCATGTTAGCAAGCTGTATGATTCTATTATCTTGAACTGTTCATTTGTGAAATGAACATTACTTGGACACATTCACTTTTGCTTTGTAATGTAGACACATGCATTTTCTGTAAAGCTGCTTTGAAACAATGTGTATTGTGAAAAGCGCTATACAAATAAATTTGAATTGAATTGAATTCAGCTTGCATCTGAGAGTCTACAGAGCAGTTTGTCTACAGAGTGACATCCTCACCCACAGACATAGACAATCAGATCCTGATACTATCAAATGCTCTGAAAGAATAAAAAAAAAAGTGAAATACCAGAGGAAAAAAACTGTCAAAGAATTATTCAGAACTGTTTAATGGATCAGAATTACATCCAAATTACCAGCAACTTTTTTTTTTAAAGCAGTATCACCACGGAGGATCGGGTCGGACAGCAGGAGTGACTGAAGTGTTTTTGCACTGGGGCTCAAAGCTAAGACTAGATTATGATTGAGGCTAATAAATCTGAATTGTATATCACCATGGTATTTCATTCTACAGAAATTTACAAAAGTAGAAACAGTTGTAGCCTAGTAAGAAACTGGATTGTGGTCTCACTGAAATTGACCAGTAAAACTACTGAAACCTGGGCACATCTCAAGCAGAAAGATTTCTTTTTCAGAAATGATGAACTTGAAGACTTCAATAGACAGCACTCTCAGCATTTATTGTTATTACAGTTCAGAGGCGGATTTACCCATTAGGCAAAGGTAGGCAACCGCCTTGGGCCCCCAAAAGCCAAGGGCCCCCTAAAATGCTTTTCATCTACAAGATACGCATTAAGCGCGGACATGCGAACAGTTGGTTTTTACGGTGTTTTATCACCACGACAACCATCTGCTTGTCCGAGTTGAACACACTTCTCGTGTATCCTGCTTGTAGCAATTGAAAATATGCATCTGAAGCTCTAATTAAATATTGAGCAACAGTGCGTATTATATCTTTATTGTTTTAAATGCTGCTTACTTATGCATAAGAACCCAAGTAGAGGACGCATACGCAGTTTGTTTGGTTGATATAATCCTTAGGTGTGTAAATGTATAATTTCCTTTTCATAATTTTTTTTCATTTTCATTTAAATTTGTAGTTAAAATAAGCATATTTTAAAGTTTAGAATTAGAGGTTTAGATTAGACTGGTAACTCATCACGGTCATCAGTGGACTTTCCTCCTAAATATAGGCTATATTTTTTCACACTTTTCTCATTCTCACTAATTCAGTGAATGAATGAAGGGAACCGACTGTCTTCAGAAAAGTTTAAATGGCATTTTCATTCTATCTGACAAAGTAGCGTTTATGAGCAGCACTGCTTTGTTTGCAGTCGTTACCGGGGAAACCGCTATATTTCTGATGTCCCAAAAGTGCCTCCTGCTGGCAGATAATGAATGTTCATTTTCAATAATCCAGTCTGTAGTTTTTGTTAGGACCAATGCGAAAATCCACCCACATAACCCCGTTTTAAATTAATATCATAATTTATACTTCAGACACATCTCTTTTCTTTAAAAAAAAATGTTTAAAGGCCCAATTGTGAGGTTTATCATTTTATAATTGATTTTGTTTTTGTGAAAACTGTAAATCAATTGCTATTTTGTGGTCTACAACATGAAAGAAAGCCATTATAACATGTACATGAAAAATGTATAAACATTGGACACAACTGTGGGGCACCATTATGCAGCAGCAAGCATCACAACAAGAAGGAACCTCAAGGCTAAATTTGTAAATGTGTGCAAATACATAGGGCCCCATTCATCTATTTTGCCTGGGGTCCCCAAATCTCTAAATCCGCCCCTGTTGCAGTTACACAAACTTAAACTAGCAATTCAGACACATAACTGACAGAACACTTAATTTCCAGTTCATTTTAAACATTGCATAAATATGTTTTCATATATTTAAATTTGGTTCAATCAATTGTGTTACTTTACCACTATTAGTTGAAATAGTAAATAATGTCTGCTACACCGTATGCCTGATCACTGCCAACATTACATATGTTCAGGTCTTTCATACTGACTTAAAAAATATTGAATTTAATAAAGACAAACAGACTGACATTTTCACACACCTTGGTACTTAAACCCCAAAGTATTGCAACTGGTGAAAGACAACCAAACAAATGCTTAGCTCTCAGCTTGTTGATCTTTACTGCTGAGGTTCTCATGGTTTTGCAGGGTGAACAAAGTGTGGAAGAGTCTGTTTCTCATTTCTCATGTCTCTGTGAAACATCAGAATCAGGTGCAGACAGATTCTCCATGTACTGTATAAATCTCTGGTGTGTTCTGTGTTTTTGAAAGAAAAACTGGCATCTATACTACTGAACACATCTTTTAAAACCTTATACTGCAGATCAGCCTAAACATTGTAACATGATAATAATTACATTACCCCAAGATGAAATCTGCATCATTGAAGTCAGTTCCCTTGTTTACATATAAATCTGTGACAGGAAACATAATTAAAAACTAACTATAGGCTTCATATATATAGTTGCATTGAAAGAAAGAAAGAAACCTGCACTTACCCAGGCTTAATCTTCACTATAGGACAGGAGGCATTAAAGAAAAGAAAATTATTTACATGACATGTTACATTTACAATCATGTAAATATTTAATATTATCAACAATTAGGATGTTAACTAGCTTTAGGAAAATTAAAACCACAGTGAGTAAATCAGGTTGTGTTTACACTGTATGCACAATTTAGATATTTTGACATGCATCTAAAATGGCCCACTTGTTTTCATAAAGTATCCTAATAATAATAAAATTTATTAGGGCGGTCATTTGAATAACATTTTTTGTGACTAATGAAATATTTTTTTAGTTAACATAATGCATTTAATATATCAGTTTTAAAGACAGAAAAATGTGGTGGTAACCCTGCTTAAAGTTAGTGTGAAACACCTTTGCCGAGGGTTAAAAGCATGAGCGTAAAGTGATATCTGTAGCACACTGTATACACTAATTTACACTTTAAACTTGGCATTGTGTACTATAAATATTGTTGGTTCCTGTCTTTAGCTCTTTTAAGTACCTGTTTGGATAAATTTTTTGACTGTTTGTTACTGAGCCATATAACTTTTTAATAAACCGAACACAGATTTCACGAAAATACATGAGTCTGGCTCATTATTTATGCTGTTAATATTCATCGAGTCATACATTTGACAGTCAGATTGATTTAATCAACTGAGTCTCTTTTAAAAATATGTTAGAAGATACTTACGGAAAGCACATATTTGTAAAATCATCCAATATAAGACAAAAACACATTCAGAGAGAAACACTATGACTCTCAGATCCTTCACGACATGCTCACCATTTCCTAAGAATTACAATTAAAATACTACATATGAAAACAGGAAAATTAAGGCATTGGAAAACAAAAAGGTCAAGCAATGTTTAGTAATTGCACTATAATTTGTTGTGTATATTTCCTAAAGACACAGTGTATTACAGTGTGTTAGATTAGATAACTCTGTGTGATTTAAAAATATTACAATCACTCACGTGCTTTCAGGATCAGTTCTGCTGTCAGTGAACCAGAGTTCAACAAAACAAGACCAACTGCTCCAAACATGAACATGATTTTATGACAGAGAGACACTCCCACACACACACACACACACACACACACACACACACACACACACACACACACACACACACACAACAAACAAATCAAATAGTTGCACTAATACATTAAACAATTGTTACCACTGTATGTTAATTTTAGTAGATTTCTTTTCTCTGTTCTACTATAGAATTGTATTTATATTCTATTGCTTTAACAGACTTAAGAGGGTTTTTTAATAAATATTGGGTAAATCAAGAAATGTAGAAATAAAGTGATTCATATTGTCAGCAGTCAGTAATTACATGCATTTGATCCTTCTTGGCTCGTCTCGGTCTGTTGTTGTCTCTGTGCTTCTGAATGTTCTGCCTCTGTGTAAAAACAAAAGTGAAATCACATTCAAAGGTCAAAAGAACAAATAACATGTTCAATTACTGATAATATGACACTATACTGTGCCTGCTACATCAAACATTAAGTGTAAAAAAATTGATTGTTGAAAAAATATGGTGAAAATATTTGAAGCATCAAGGCATGAATTTGGTTAGGATATATTTCAGAGTTTATAATTACATTTACGTGATATGATGACATTTCAGTAGCACTTCTTTTGGCCAACAAAGGTGACAGTGTGTGCAGTATAGAAAGTGCAAAACATTGTCTGGGTAACTAAAATAAGAATTAATTATCAAAGAATTAAAGAATAATTACTAATGAGATCCATGTGTATATTCAGTTAATCCTCAGTCTTGCTCATGTGATAAAAAAAAAAAATTCTAAAATGTATGCTTAATATTAAACTTGCAGAAATTTGATTCATACATTTTGCTTTCATTATATTTTATATATAACTTGTAAAATGTATAACAGTTATCTCATTTCTGACTTTCATAACACCATAGTATGCTCTTTTATAATTACAGAGTGTGGTTATAAAGGACATGCATTATGATGGATATTACCAATAACATAATCTCGGTCTTCAAAGGCCACCATGATCCTCAGAACTTCAAGAAATACAACCATAAAGGTCCACTGCAAGCATTCTGTCAATTAAAAAGAATTTATTTCTGTTCACCACAACATATTTAACTTTTCCATGATTCCCTTTATTCAAAATAAATAAACAGATAAATTGATAACACTTTAGGGACCAGTTCTCACTATTAACTAGTTGCTTATTAGCATGAATATTACTAGCATATTGATCCCTTAATCCACCCCATACCTAAACTTACCAACTACTAACTATTAATAAGCAGCAAATTATGAGTTTATTGAGGCAACAGTCATAGTTAATAGTTAGTTAATAGTGAGAATTGTTCCCCAAACTATAGTGTGACAAAAAAGGTAAGTATAGCATACCTTTCTCTCTTCCAAATATGCGTACATGAACATAGACCACTAGGATGCTATATAATGTTATCACTAATTTCCAGAAGCTAGCTGTGGAAAATACAAACCATCACAGTCCACATAATACAACTAATCTCAGATTTGATAGATGAATTGAACATTTGTAAATCACTGTTGAGCAAATATTATCCAACAGCATAACATTCATAAATCACAATTTTTTTACTTTTAATATTACTGAATTTAACTACACATTCGCAATAACATGCACTTACTTCGCATACACATAAGCAGTATTGCCTGAACCATTGGCGCAGCTAGAAAAGCTAAAACAAGATTACAGGTCAATTTTCAATTCAAACAAGATAATAGTACATAATGTCATGATTGCTCAAAAGACAACATACATGTTAGAATCAAATAAAGAGTCTATTTTCAGTTGCTTCATTCGTGTCATTAATGTAGTTTTTGTAAGTATTGCTCATTACTGTATTCATATTACTGTATTTAATAATCTAAGCGTGAAGGGAACTGTACTCAGGTGCAACTTACCTGGACTGGGAAGTCCAAATGAGGAAAACAGTAGGAGGAATTGTGCCAGAGACAGGAAATATAACCAGACCCACTTCACGTGCATCCTGATAAAACCTTAAAAAATTAAAATTAAAAAATGAACGGATGCTCATCACATCTTTTCTCATATAACAGAACTCCAACTATGAAAAGGACCATGTTGCTCATCACAACAGTAAGGATAACATTTGTTTGCTGGTTTGCTGGTTAAATGTGTGAGCTTTAGCTTCAAATGGTCAAAGAAAAGATCAAAATGTACACTGTAAAAAATTATTGTGATTTTAACAGTAAAAGACTGTAAAAATGCTACAGTAAAAACCTGTTAACTGGTTAACAGTAAGTTTCCATACTATATTCTGTGAATAAATGTAATTACATTTAATGTGATTTTCCAGTAAAATATTGTTAAAAATACGTTTTTTGGAAGTGAAAAACAAAAAGTCATTGTATAATTTATGGAGAAAAACCGTAAATTGACACTCCCAGAATTCCTTGCATGACACTTCATATTTGAGGTTTTTCTTATCAGTTGTGTACACTAGGGTTTAATCTTACATCTAATCTTGTTAAATTAATGTTTATTGCATTATTTCAGTATCATGTGTGTCACCATGATGGGGTTTAGTGTTACTGTGAATGACACTGTGCACCTTCTATATATAAGTATTGTCCTTCTCAGCTCATATAAAAGCTGTTTGTGATGAGCTTTGGTTCATTGTGTGACTTTCTCATCACCACCAGTTTTTGGTGGTTATCAGTACATTACAATGGTTCAAAATAGATATTAGTACTTCAATATGTTGGTTTATTAACATTACATCAGTTAATGAAATACGGTATTTTATTGTGAATTTAAGTTAAGTCTGTAAAACCTAAAATGTTGCTACCATACTTTTTACGATGAAGTTCTGGCAACCACAGCTGCCGGTATTTTACCGTAAATGTCACAGATTTTTTTTTACAGTATATGTAAACTATATGCTCACTCCCTTTCCTTAACTTTTGTTCTCTTTGCTGTTTCTCTTTTTCCTGCACTCTCTTTTTTTCTCAGCCTTCTGGAGCTTTTGTTTTTTTACTCAGCCTGACACTTATAAATAAGCTATACCAACTTGTGAAAACAAATAATTCAAAAACTCTTACCTCTACTCAAAATGAAAGAGAACAGCACAACACATCCATAGAACATTCCAAAAATTATGCGCCATGCAGATTTCTTATTTGCAGCCTTTATCCAGGCATCTATCAAAAAAACTGCCAGAAGAACAGATCAAAATTAAATGCCAAAACAGTAAATAAAAAAATATAAAAATGACAAGTGTAACTGCAAGAAAATGATAGACCTTAAGAATGAGTGAATTGTGCAATGTTTGTCAAACAATTTGTCGTTTTGATTAAATAAGGATGTTCTAATGTATGTGGAGATCACCTCATGAAAAAGCAGCACTACATGAAATTACGCAAAAACTGCAAAAGTACCTAATCTTATTTCAGAATGATGAATTTTCCCCCCCATATTTTAAATTCTCACCCCCATTGTTATTATTAAAGCACATTAAATGGTATGAAAGGCAGACTGTGCCCATTTTATATGAAGTAATGAAAAGCAGATTAACCATTTCCTTATTGAAAAATGTCCCCAAATTATGTGTCAAAAGTAAAAACAGAAGTGATTTGATTATGATTTTAAATGTTCACAATGGCAATGCAAAAAAAAAAAAAAACTGCAAATATTAAAAAAGTATGTGAAAAAGATTTCCTTCTCAATGCTAAAGCAATAACCATGACACAAATAAAAAATCAAAGTCCTACGTAAAAACTTATTAAGTTATTATGGGCTCTAAAATGTGCTGCTCATGCAGTATGTTTGAATCCTGTTTAAACACCTAATACTTGTCAACATTAATTATAGTTCCAGTCCAACTATCACATAGCCCATTTATTTATTCTTGTAGCTCAAACTGTAGAGTATGGCTAGCAATGCTGATGTCAAGTTTGATTCCCACGGAAAGCATAAACCGATCAAATGTACAACTCACATAATGAAATGTAAGTCACTTTTGATAAAAGCATCTGGTAAATGCATAAATGTAAATGCTGTTGTGCACCTCCTCAGACTCTCTACCTCTTTTAAACAGTGAGGCCCACCTACTGATTATCATAGAAGTTACATACTGGATGGCTTTGAAAATGAAATTGTAAAATAAAGAAAATGAAATGGAAACTAAACTTTACATTTTAATTTAAATATTTGCTTTTTCAATTTAATATTGACAGTCTAGCCCCAATATTGTTGTGAAAATGATTTGTCAATTAATTTTCAAAAAATGAGATGGTTTATGTTTTTTTTTTGCTGGTCATTTTATCATTTCAACCTGGCAGAGTCTGCCTTTCAGGTGTTATAATCAATCAATCAATCAATCAATCAATCTATCTATCTATCTATCTATCTATCTATCTATCTATCTATCTATCTTTAATGGAGTAATGTGGAAAAAATGCCCTACAAGCAGACAGATATCATTTAAATTTGTGAAATGCTTTTAATTGCTTTTAATGTGAGAATAATGTCCATGACTTCTGCTGTGCAAAATTCGGATTTACCCACCTGAATAAACAACGACTGTGAAAACAGCTAATTCTCTTTTTCTACTTGAAAACTTGATCCATGTTTTAAGGTTGTCTGTAAGCACACAACATTACACCCAATTAATATTTTATTATAAAGCTCAACAATGTTTGTTAGTTCTGTCCTGCTTGAGTAAATTGTATCCCCCTCTGTTGGCAAACAGACAAATTTTAAATATTCTTATTCCCAACATATCAAATATTAAAGCATGGTCGCGAGTCACCCTGAATTCCTCGATTTTAAAAATGTGTTGTCTCCATGTGTTCAGCTTGAGTTAGGCATAGAACTCTTAGCCACATTTCAATATTTTACATCATGTATTTAACTAACAGCATTAATCTCTTAAAATATGTCAAGTGTTAAAATGTCATCATCAATATATTTCTCATTGAAAAAAATAAAATATTTAGATTGTAAACATACCTTGAAGATAATTTAAATAAGACAAAGCCCAAATCAACATTAAAGACCTCAGAATATTAAGAGCACAGCAAGTGATGGTCTCATTCAGAAGTTCTGGAACAGAATATTAAATGATGGGTATTAGATGACATGAGACAAAAAACTGTCTTCTCATCATGAAAAATTAGCACTACATTACAACACTTAGAAAATCTGTCATATTCTTAATATTGTTCTGTACATAATTACAATATCTAAAATGCTAAACTACTGTACTGCACTCACCTTCAGTAAGAACCCAGAAGATAAAGGCAAAGAACATACAGATGTTTGGATAAAAGACCAGAGAAAGCTGAAGATTCCTGATTGTTCTGCTGGTGACTGGAAGATGTAAAACAATCCCAGTTAAATGAGACACTTACAGATACACATACAGAGTCAAGTACCACAAGTGAGAACAATTCTCTTCCAAACACACCTGTGTTATTTGATCTGCAGTAGATCAGAGAGCAGAGCAGAAGCACAGCTCAAAATCCAGCAGCAAAACAGAAAAAAAACACAGCTATGTGCCAAGAAGAGAAACCTGTGAAACACAAACATCAGGGATAACATTTACATCTGCACTGAATCAATTTGATAATAGGTCATCGTTTCCTACTGGGGAATAATTATGAAAAAATTACATATTTTATATACAGGTGCATCTCAATAAATTAGAATGTCGTGGAAAAGTTCATTTATTTCAGTAATTCAACTCAAATTGTGAAACTCGTGTATTAAATAAATTCAATGCACACAGACTGAAGTAGAAATGAAAAAGGAGCCGTTTTCTCATTTTTCTACTTTCAATATTAAATCAAAAAACGAATGATCGAATGATACACGGATTTTGCAGCATCATTATGTTACTTTTACACAGAGATTAGTAGGTCTGTTGGTAAAATCTGTTGACTTTAGCAATCGTTGTTAGATTAGGCTATATGCCAATAGTTAAACAAAATGTTAGCAAAATCAAACTGTCATGGTTATGTTCTGTTTTGGTTCTGTTTCTGCCTCCACATTACCCTGAGTCCCCTCCTCTATTAGTTTCCATGGTTTTTGATTAATTTGCTGGTTAGTCATTATTAGTTAAAGTCCCATGAAATCAAAATTAAAGTTTTTTGGGTGTTAGTATCAATATGTTAGTCTTAAGGTTATCTATAAGGC